ACTTCTTTGTGGTTCTTTGTAAGGTCTAGTGACTTCTTTGTAAGGTCTAGTGATGACCTTACTCTTGAGAAGGTTGAAGCTATTTCACTTTTCCTTTCCAGTATGCTTCATATTTCTCCTATACGCATGGTAGTTACACTGTGGTTAACTTCATACCTTGTCATGTCCTAGTACTTAAATAAGGAATTTTTTAGCAAACATATTTAAGTAAGAGAAAATAATCCTCTATCCTGAGGAGATTTTAGTTGTAAACGTTACACCCTGATAATATAAATAATGTGTGTGTATATATATATATATATGTATATATTTAGTTAACTCTTGCTGGAGATATTTTTAAAATAGTATTTTTTTGAAGGCTTAAACACAGGTTGCATTATCCTTGTTTTTAAGTACGACGCATCTTGTGCAACTGAAGACAGCAGACTTGGCTTTAAAAGAGATTGTTTCATTAGGCGGGTGGCCAACACTGAACTAAAAGAGTCTTTGGCAAAAACAAGTTAAACTGTGGAAGAAATCAGTCCAGTCTGTAGAAGAATGTGTGTGCTGAGTATTATAAGAAGTCTAATGGGTGGTTAGCGAAAGATTGTCTTAGCGTGCATTAAAAAGCACATATTTTAGACTTGGTTTTTGTGGTGTTATAGCAGGAAGACATTTGTTTTTAATTTTGCTAGGTTTAAATGGCTCAAGAGATGAATACTCTCTTGTTTGTTAGATTTCATATTGTAAACTCAATTGCATTCCCCACTGCCATAACCCTAAAGACAGACATACAGCCTCTGGATGGTAAGCATAACACAAAGAGGAATCCATAGAGCTCCTTTAAGATCTGCAGTGGAAACAGTTGAAATGCACAATAACAGATAATCATAGGTTTGAAATATGAAACAGAGTATTTTATTCTGAAGGACAATAATTTTATTATAAAGAACTACGAAGTAAAATGCCAATGGTATCATACATCAGCTTGTCTGAAAAAAAGATGCATGTGGATTGCTCAACTCTGTGTCGGAAGGGATGTGGTTATAGGGATCATTCATACATGTTTGGTGGTCCTGTCCTGCAACAATAAAATGTTAGTCTCAGATTGTTAATCAAGTAAAAATGGTAAAAGAAAAACAGTTACCAATGGAATATTTGGTGTTGACGTTGGGTTTGGCAGTAGAAGAGGCTTATGGGTTGAGAAATACCGTATGCCTCTGACAGTTCAGCCACGGGATGCATGATCACAACACACAGTTGAGAATGATGGGGGGAAAAAGGCTCATGGTTTAAGGACTGATTCCACACCCACTGAAATCTTTCCATGAATTTTGGATTGAACCCTTAATGAATTGGTAAAAAAGTTAAGCCCACTGCAACAGCCTAAGGGGTGTATACAGTACCATCATTTTTTTTCAAGGTATGATTGTGCTGATAGATTTTGTAACTAGATGATGATTATTGAAAATTGTGTCAAATTTCCTTTTATCTCAGGCCCTGATATCGCACCATTGACATGACTGAAATTTTTGCCATTGATTTCAATTAGAGTAGAATTAGGGCCTCAACATTTTCTCTCTTCGTATTGTTTTTACATTAGTTTATAAGTTGGAAAAAGAAATGGGAAAAGCAAGCCAGCGCTTTTCTAATATTCACAGTATGATTCTGTTATTTATTATGGGATTTAGTTTGTTATGCATGCCTTGTCTGTTTTTTGTTTTTATTTTCTTTGAAAAAGTAAATAAACTTCAAGAAAATTATAGTTTCACTTCTGGGCCTTTAGTAAGAGATTTGTTGAATCTCTGAGATGAGCAATCCTTCAGGGAATTCAGGAAAATTGGCTTTAATTTACAGTATATTGTCTCCAGTAATTTCCTGTACTGAGGGGCTCTTTTCATCTGTGTCTGCACTCAGTGCTAGCACTTTTCAGCTGTTTCCGCTACACTACTGTATTTTATGGAGATGAACTAATTGTGCCATATATTGGGAAATTAAACCACTGAACTGCAAAGTGGAGGTCCATGCTGTCACTACCATGTAGTTGTCTGTATAGCATTCATGATTTTGAAAAAACAAACTTAACTTCCTCTTTGAAAGCAATTGCTTTATCTACTCCAGTGCTCCACAATGATCTGAGTCCCATTGCAAATAGATTGTAGATGTTTTATTAGGAGAATCTGACCTGGGTGGTTCAGATAAATGGTTTCTCCAGTCATACTCATGATGAGAGAGTTGCAATTTTAATAGATTTGTTTTGTGATGGGAATTCTGAAATATGTTTATGAGCCATTAAAGAAATGAATCAAATAGCATTCTAAATTCATATGTTTATGTTAAAGGTCTGATTTTTAAACGGACATAAGCCAAGGAATTCAGGATGCAAGCTGAAATTCAAACTTCACCTCTCTCTTGTGCATGAGAGTCAGCTGTTTTCATTTTGTATCATGTGAGTTAATCCCAGATTTCTGGGTTGAGTGCCCTCTCTTTTCAGTCTGATGGAGGCATTCAGTACAAAAATACTTTTTCATTTTAATTTTTGTTTTCCCCTTTGTGATGTACTCTTGATTCACTAAATATATCCCACAGTGCATCATTTTGTGACATTCCAAATACCATAAATGTAATTGAATCCCAATATACTTCATGGTATTTATAATGTCACAGAATATATGTTCTGGGCTACTTTCAGGGAACCAGAGAGTACCAAGAGAGCACAATCGATGGTGAAAAACTCCTTTTAAAAGGTTAGTTAATATTTATTTCTTTGCTAATTGCCCCCACCGCCTTTTTAGTGGGGGTAGTCATCACAGAAATCTGGGATTAATTTAGTTTTCATTTCTTTTTTTGTAGATCAGCATTTACTTCTGTTTTAAAGAGATTTGTACACTATTTTTAGTGTAATTTAAGGATGGAGATGGTAATTAAGGGATTAAATAGTATACTGTAGATATGCATTTTCAGACACATTATTACATGGATTATAAACATTTATAGAAGGTTTTTGTACTGTTTCCTTCTGACCCAATCGATACCAAGTTTTTAAACTGTTATGGCCATATATGTAATTGCCTCACACTAACAGCAACAGGACAAAACACATAAATAAATTAATATTAAAGGGACTTGGTTGTTTTAATATGCTGCTTTGGTAACCAGAAGAAATTGCAGATTAAAAAGTATCCTACAGGACCTCTAAATCTGATCCATTTATGAAATTTTGTTGCAGTCTGATCTGGAGGAACATAAACTGAAAACTTTACTGAACCTTATAAGTCAAAACACCTATCTGAGTGGTTTTTACTGTTAGTTTAAAGTATGCAAATAGTCTAAGTAGTTTTTAAGTTTGTTTTTGACTCTGAGCAATATAGTTTAACTCAAATCCAAGCCTGTTCAAC